ACTAAATTTCACCGTCTACATTATTAAAATGTTTGACTTCTCACCTACAGATGATTCATATGAGAAAACAGTGGATGAACTTATTGCAAAATAATAACATTTTCTTGTCAGAAATGGCGGCCATCTTGAATTTGAGTGGCTAACGTGTTTTATTAAAAGGAGGATTTGTGCCAAGTTTAGCATTTCTGTCCATATGTGAAAGATTTCCCTGAAACATGCAGTTATCAGCTGAGATGGATGTTTTTGGACAAACGTATGGTTTTGGCTCAAATGTGTTTTCACTAATTAAGACTCTATAACTTCCCTGATGCTCCTGTGCTTGAGTGATACAGCACCACAGCAGTTTCCTCTTATGACAGGAACAGACCATGTGCATGCTGATGATCATACAAGGTGTTCTGTACCTGCCGACAGATCCTACAGTTCTACACCGGCTGTGAAAAACTGTAGGATTAAGTTGGCAAGTCTGTATCTGGCACGGGTATTAGCCGAGGTGTGTAACAGCATGTGTGTCCTGACTTGAAAATGGTGCGCGCACGCACACACACACACACACACACACTGAGCTGCTGAATGAAGAGAGATTCTTTCATTAGCTTGTTTGCTCACATCTCACAGAACAAGTCCACACAAGACGAGACAGTCTTATTCTTCTCTCCTTCTTCTTCTTCTTCTCCTGATCGGCTAAGAGGCTGCAGCTGTTTCTAGCCCTCAAACTAAAGTAGTTTAATTACATTTCAAATTTCATATTGAGGCATTTAGCAGAGGATCTTATCCAGGTCAACTTACAATGAAAGCAACAGCAGATTAAGCTTCAATGCCTGAATTATCCGCCATTTGAAAAGCACCTCCTACTCGCACTAAATTATGGCGAGCCTCAAAATTAAGACAAAGTGCGGCTCTTCTTTAACTGCTGTTTATGTCTTAAGAGCTTTGTTGACACACTTTCACTGACTGGATTCTGTGTTCCACAAATACTGCGTTTTTCTTCAAAACTGCTAAACTTATGTAAATTAACACAATTTATATCTTTGATATTTATTTCAAAAACAAACATCAACTAATAATTTTAATCATCATGTCAAACTAAGTCGAACCTCAGCTGCTTCCTTCTTTCTTACAGAGAGCTCCCGTCACTCAGGATCTGCCCCTCCTCACCTGTCCACTGCAGAGGTTCATGCTCCTGCGCACCACCTGACCCCATCACCTGCCCAGCTGCTCCCGCCGTCTTTAGACCCAGTATACTGTGAGTTTCTGCCTTGGTTTGAGCTCTGCCTGATGCCTGATCTGAGATCTGCAGCCACGCCAGCAGCTGTGTGAGGCTGCACTTAGTCACAGCAGTGGTCTGAGCTAAATGCTAATGTCAGCATGCTCACAAAGACTTTAGAAAGCATAATGTCCTCCATGTTCACCCTCTTAATTTAGCACGGAAGCATGCTAACATTAGCTTATCTGCAGGATGTTTTGCAGGTATTCAGTCAAACTAGAGTCAGCTCCTCCTCCTCCACTCACACTAGTTCCACGTTACATCCTGTTTATCCAGTCAGAGAAAATATGAACCGTTTGTGTGAAATTTTGTCATAATTACTGTGTGAAGTCTAATGGCTAAAAAGTGTTTTGTGAGGTCACCGTGAGCTTGACCTTTGACCTTTCGCCACCAAAATCTAATCATTTGATCCTTGAGTCCAGGTGAAAATTTTGCCCAAACTGAAGAAGTTCTGTCGAGGTGTTACTGAGACGGACGGACGGACAACCCAAAAACAAAATGGCTGCCACTCTGACTGTGGTACTTGACAAATTTGAGGTCTGATCTGATAACGGTGAAAGTAGGAGCCGTCAAAGTTATTATAGTTCATCCCGAGGAGGACGTGAAGGTGTGTGGCACATTCCATGCGAATCAATCAAACATTTATCGAGATGTTTCACCCAAACGAGCGCCGCAGGAAATGTAAGAGCGCCACCAAATATCAGGAGTGTTCATCTTCTGGGGAACATGAATTACTGCATAAAATCTCACAACAATCCGTCCTACAGTTGTTGAGATATTTCACCTTCTCTTCCACCTCTCTACAACCTGCCGGCCTCTCTCAGAGCTCGGCCTCCTGAGTCCTCACCCAGACCTGATCCAGGGCCAAGCTCAGCTCATTCTCATAACTGCTGCTGCTGCTGCTCAGAGGTTGGCTGCATGTGATGGAGCAGTGTTAGTGGAGTGTTGCTGCTCTGATATAACGACGTGGAGGAAGTACACGGAGACAACACATCACACACACACACACACACACACACACACACACACACACACACCACACACACACACACACACACACACATCACATCACACACACATCACACATCACACATCACACACACACACACACACAGACTATGCAAAAACCTTACATTTAAAACACACGTATGTGTGAAGGGCAACAAGATGCAACATAAAAATAAAAATCATAAATATACATGAAGACATCGGAACAGATGATTTAGCTTTCTAACACTGTAACTGCCGACAGCTGTTATTATGGGGGGGGGGGTTAAGTTGCATTACATCATGTTGCGTGGCGATATGTCACGTTGCGTGTTACTTTCCATCACATTACGCCGAGTTACGTTACTTTACGTGTCAGGTTACTGCGTTACCCTGTGAGCGAGAGAGAGAGAGACAGTGAGAGAGAGAGAGACAGTGAGAGAGAGAGAGGGGCGACCAAAGAAGCGAGTGTTTTTGCTCAGTTACAGTTTTGTACCACAAACCTCAGATTCATCAGACTCATCAGATTCATGACACATGTTGCCCGTCACGTGGAGAAACTCAAATAAAGCAATACATTCTGACTTTGTTGCAAGTTTCGCTTCATTAGCATCATTAGCACACTGCTAAGCTTCATGCTAACTCTGTATCAAACCTCAATATTCCAGCTACACACAATAACATCATACAGATTGATCATGTCGATAATATTATATGGTGTGTAATGTAAATGAAGGGGGTTTATAGGATTTACTCTAGTCTCACAGTGTGTGTGTGTGTGTGTGTGTGTGTGTGTGTGTGTGTGTGTGTGTGTGTAGTTCAATAAAACAAGGTAACAGAGGCAGGATCAATACAATTCGGCCCACCAGCAACAGTTCACATGCTGCGGGTCTTTCTGCAGAACAGACTTCCTGCGGTGCACTCTGGGCGCCGACGCCAAGCCGGGTCGAAAACGAAGCTAATTATCTTCAAAGGAGCCGCGGCGATCTGATAATGAATTTATACAACGATAAGGAGCCCTGCACCACGGCGCTGATTTCATCTTATCACAGGAAATTAAAAATAAGACGTTCAGATCCACGACGGACAGGGACAACTTGGGAGGAGGGGGGGCGGGCAGTGGGGGGGGGGGGGGTCAGACATCTTATTTGGTGATAATAATAATAATATATGATAAAACATCTTTATGTCACCAGGTGAATCAGTTCACAGGTGACAGCAGCACTGAAATCAACCAGTTAATTAAACACCTGATAATCCCTAACATTCACTCAGTGCTCAGTTTATTAGGAACATTAAACTGATGCAGTAAATCAGCTTCATGAAGGATTTAATCTTCAGTTTGTGTTGAAACAGTTTGAGACAGATGTTGATCCTTGTGGAGGATGTGTGACATTATACAGCTGTTTCTGTCATTACCTCCTTTCACTGATAGAAGTGTGGTGGACAGAGTTAGAGAGACAGCTGGACGCCACGGTGACGGTCGTTATGCAGCAGTAGTTTTGTGTTGGCATATCGGTTATCACTCTCCCTGATTACCGATAATCAATCGGCCCTGAAGAAAGCGTATTGGCCGATCCCTCGTTACAATCAGATTTATTTGTCACTGCCATAATTACAGAGCTTCAACACACTGCAACTTAAAAACACGTGCAAAGACACAAACACGCTGCAAACTCATCACCACAGGAAGTGTTTCCAGGGGACACTGAAAGGTGATGAACCTGGATGTTACTGTCACTTCTCACGTTAAAAGCACTTGAGCAGGTTCATCACTCTTTTTTCTTTTTTCAGAGAGAGAGAGAGAGAGAGACAGACAGAGAGAGAGACAGAGAGAGAGACAGAGAGAGAGAGAGAGAGAGAGAGAGAGAGAGAGAGAGAGAGAGAGAGAGAGAGAGAGAGAGAGAGAGAGAGAGAGAGAGAGAGAGAGAGAGAGAGAGAGAGAGAGAGAGAGAGAGAGAGAGAGAGAGAGAGAGAGAGAGAGAGAGAGAGAGAGAGAGAGAGAGAGAGAGAGAGAGAGAGAGAGAGAGAGAGAGAGAGAGAGAGAGAGAGAGAGAGAGAGAGAGAGAGAGAGAGAGAGAGAGAGAGAGAGAGAGAGAGAGAGAGAGAGAGAGAGAGAGAGAGAGAGAGAGAGAGAGAGAGAGAGAGAGAGAGAGAGAGAGAGAGAGAGAGAGAGAGAGAGAGAGAGAGAGAGAGAGAGAGAGAGAGAGAGAGAGAGAGAGAGAGAGAGAGAGAGAGAGAGAGAGAGAGAGAGAGAGAGAGAGAGAGAGAGAGAGAGAGAGAGAGAGAGAGAGAGAGAGAGAGAGAGAGAGAGAGAGAGAGAGAGAGAGAGAGAGAGAGAGAGAGAGAGAGAGAGAGAGAGAGAGAGACAGACAGAGACAGAGAGAGAGACGGAGAGAAGATTCTAAATAAATAAATAAATTCTGCAGATGAAGAATTTCAGAGACTCGTAACAATAACAACAACAACAACAACAACAACAACACATTGCTACATTAACTTCAGCACATTTCATACTAATTGATTTGTTTCTTCTCATTTGAACAGCAGGACTGAAGTTTCAAACATGAGCTTCTGACGTCACTGTGAACTCCTTATTGATGCACTTTGACTCAGTTTGTGTTTGCTACAGGAAGTGATCCAACACACACACACACACACACACACACACACACACACACACACACACACACACACACACACACACACACACACAGTAGGAGAGCTGCTAGTGTCTTTACTTCACCTGGTTGTACGCCTCTCCGCCTCCCGCTCCTCCTCCTCCTCCTCCGCCTCCACCACCTGCTCCTGCTCCGGTACCGAGCTCCGGCAGCCGCCTCCGGCTCAGCACCAGCAGGTAAACCAGCGCTCCCAGCCACACCAGCACCGCCACGGCCACCGCCAGCCTCCGACAGAGACGCTTCATTTTGCGGTCAGGAGGAGCCGGCGGCGCCCCGCAGCCCGGCCGCTGTCAGAGGACCATGATCCTCCAGGAGCGGGAAGGAAACAAGCGGCCAACCTGCTCCAACTCACACCGCTCACAAGTCTGTCCGGTCCCGCTCACCGCGGAGCGCGCGCTCCCTCCCTCTCTCTCTCAACTCACAGAAGCTCGAGCGCTCCTCTGACACGCCTGACAAGCCGTACGCGTGTGCGTGCGCGCGCGTGTGTCTGCGAATCTGTGTGTTTCGCTGAGGGAGTCCTGGACCCTCCTGAAGGGTTGACTGGGAGAGAGTGTAGCTCCACCTGCCGACACCCACAACTACCCCAGCAAAGTACCGAGGAAGAACGGAACGGAACAGAGCGGAATAGAATAGAGTAGAGTAGAAGAGAACAGGATAGAATAGAATAGAATAGAAAAGAATAGAATAGACAAAAGGAAACGACACAATTGGAGCTTTTTAACTATCAAACAATCCTTTCATAGATTTTTAAAGAACATATTGACTTGTTTATTTAGTCTAATATGACATTCAACTAAAGAGTGAAAAAAATGAAGACTCCTCCTCATCATCATCATCATCATCATCAGCAGCAGCAGCAGCCTCTGTCAGTGATTGTTTGTTTGTTTGTTTGTTGTTTGTTTGTTTGTGTATGAAAGATTAGCGGAAGCTAACGAGGATCTGAATAAACATAAAGAATAAGATGTTATCAGATGCTGATGCATCGTTTGAACATGAACATTTTACTGTTGCAGCCGGAGCAACTTCCTCCAAACCCTCCGCAGGAGACACCTGAGGGGTCAGCTGATTAATGACCATGTAAACACTAAACAATAAAACAAAAGTTGTTTTGTTTTATTGGTTTTTAGAGCAGAACTTCATCAGTTCGTGTGATGTTTCTGTTCTGCTGCACAAAATCTGAGCTCCGAGCTTTTTTTACTTTTTTATATCATCTCTTTTTTTGTGGATGATTTGAATAATTTTAAACAATTCTGGCCTCAAACATTTATTTAAATAGACAGATTCTTTATTGTCATGGCATTAACAACACAGCAATTAAGTTTGGCAGCATATAAATAAATAAATAGTAAAATAAAATATGCATTTAACACCAACGATATAACTATAAAGGATCAATATTGCACATTTCAATGAAACAATTTCAAGGGGAAATTAGCGGTAACCACTCATCTGAACGAGTCACTGTATTTTATAAAGGTGATTATATGTTCAGTCTTAATCTGAAAAGTCACTTCATCTGCCAGGAATAAAAATGACAATATTTCCCTCTGACATGTAGAGAAGTGGAAATATAAAGTAGAAGAAAATAGAAATAATAAATGTCCAGTGTAACATCCCAGTTAAAGGCCAAAGGAGAGTTCTTCTTTGAGTGAAAGAAAAGAGGAAAGAGAAGGAGAAACAGCAACAATCAATAACAGCCTTCAACCACATTGTTTTGATCCAGTGTGAACGTCATATTTTACTGCTGGATCAAACCAGCGCTGCTCTCTTTCTGCTGCATCATTAGACTGAGAGAAGAGGAAGACGAGGAGGAAAGCAACAACTGAGCCTTGAAGAAACAGAGGAGGACAGGCAGAGAGGGTGAGAAAAGAAGTGAAGATGTGAGGAGAAAATACAACGAGGGGAGGCAACAAAGGAAAGAGGAAGAGAAGACCTGAGGAGAGGTTTTTTTCTTTCTGTTGCAGTCACATGAAAAAGGTGACGAGATGAAAACCGTCACATTTTATTTCAATAAATTATCAGAGCCACAGCTGAGCACATGCTCCCATCTCTAGTTATTAATAAAACATGTGGAACAAAAATAAAAATGATCCTCCTAATGAGACGTGAACCCGAGGACAGACCGCCACTTCACCCTGCGCTGTGTTAGAGCGCCACCTGCTGTCCCAGGCTGCACTCTGTGTGCAGCCTCTCAGTTCGTCTCAGTCAGAACCTCGTCACACGTCTCTCTCAACATGAACCACTGAGCCGAAGCCTCTCAGACCATCCGACCCTCCGACCCTCCTCACGAGTCCAAACATGAAAAGTCAGTCCGTCGCTTCACCGAATGTTTTCATTAAACCGGACTGACGTTAGAAAAAGAGATTCATTGGTGTTTAGTGAACTGGCACTTTACAGCACTGTATGGAAATGTAAACAGCAGCCTGTGGAGAGCAGAAGAAAACATTTACTATAATGAAAAAGGTGCAAATGCTTGATTTTGAGTTGTTATTATTATTATTATTATTATTATCTATTAATGATATTTTCAATGCAGTGTTTCATCTTGCAGCAGATATGTGGCGCTCGCCATTTCTGGATTTGTGTGCAGAGTTTTGAAAAAATGAGATCTTGAATCTGAAATGTGTGAAAGCAGAACGTAACTGCTGTAACTGAGGAAAACTAAATGATGAACGTGGGACTGTGCATCAGAAAACACACACAGAGAAATGCAATCAAACTTTGAACGAAGCATCAATTACAGTGCAGTGAATTCACTGTTCAGCTCTACCTTTAGAATATGATAGAACCTGTGCAGTGTCGCGTTCAAGAAGAAAACGTTCTCCAACTTTACTGAACTCCACTCGCAATAAAAGCACATGAAGCATCTACTTGTCAGAGTAGTAAGAGTTTTAGAGCAGACAAATATACTATATGTGGCTCATCGCACAGTTACACATTGGTTAACGAAGCAAGTTCACTTTGTGTTTTTCCCGCTCACTTCACGATGGCAGCACCATGCTTGCATAAACAGACTGTAAACACCAGACACCTGCTGTGCGGCAGGAGTCATGGGAAAATGTGAAAACTGTTGTGTTTGTCTCATTTGCCAAGAGACCGTCGCTGTGATGAAAGAGACTGATTCATACCAGAGACTGTCCCGCAGTGAACGGGTGGAGAAGGTGAAACACTCTCCCTGCAGAGGCTATTCACACGGCGTGGCTCCCAGGTATTTTCACATTGTCAAGTCTGGCCCCCGATCAAAAAGCTCCACTGTTATAGGTGCAGCCTGAAAGCTGAAGGATGGAACTACAGAGACACACACACCCCTCCATGCGAACACTGAGTATCATTAATGAGTCACTAGAGCTTGTGGGAAACTTCACATCATATTTGCTTGGATCATAATTTTGAGGTGGAAAACAACCTTCAGCTCAGGCTCCTGGTTGTAATCTCTGACCGAGACAAAAACTCCCACAAACCATGTGAAGCTTCTGTACACACATTTATAATAATTCAAGTTTCCTGTACCTTCATGGTGAGTTTTCAGCAGCGTCCTCCTTCAGTCTCATCTTCTTCCTCTCTGGCTGATCAAAAAATAATCATAAAAAAAAGAAAATCATCAGTCTTGCAATACAAGTGAAAAACAAACACAGGAACAACTCTAATACATCACATGAAAATAAACATATTAAACATATTTCCATTCTGTTCACTAACTGTGTGGTGACTGTTGACTGGGAACAAACTTCACAATAAAAGCTGAGACAGTGTGTGCAGCACTTAAATATATAATACACAAAGTATTTGTACATACATGGAGTAGTAGTTTTTTTTACCGTGATAATTAAACTGTTCATCAAACAGTAGATATTACAAACATTTCATCATTCCTCAGACTCCAGGCTACAACAGCAAAATAAAGATTAACTTAATAATGAAACTTTCTGTAGAAAAAGAAAATATCAGACACTTATTATTATATTTTATGGCTTAAAACATGTCTGAAGGGAACCTTTAAAAACCTTTTTGACTGATTTAAGGCAGCTGCATTCAGATAACCTCTATTACCTACTTACCTCTTTACTGTTTCATGTCTTTATGTCTCTTTGTCTTTTAGCGTTTTAAAATGTCTTTATGAAACTTTTCCTCGATAATAAAGACATAATGTTTGTGCCTAAATGTTTTAGACCTTACACAGATCAATAGAAACAGCTGACTGACTGTTTACTAGTTTTAGGGTACAGTAAGTTAGCCCTTTAGCACAGTTAGCTTGTTTCCTGTATGCTAGCTAGCTAAGTTAGAGCACCTCTACACGGTAGAAAACGTGAGCTAATATGAAGCGTGGTGAATTTGCGGTTTTTTAAATGAACGTACTGGTGAGCTGTTTTTCTTTTGACGAGTCTGATGTCAAACCATTTAAAACTCTTTTATCCCGCCGCCTCGCTCCAGCTAATTATTGGAATCTTAGTATTTGGCCCCGCCCACAGCCGTTACCTCGACCAATGAGGTTCTTTCTGAGCGTTACGGTTCACTCGTCACCATACAAACAGCAGTTGACAAAACAGTCCCATCTCAGTGTCCACTTACTAGCTTTCCCTGGGGCTTTCAACCATATTAAATGGTCCTCATGAGCAGATTCGGTTTATTTACTCCATTACCATGGACAGATTATGAGACAATATAAAACGCTAACCACCTCCCACAACACACCTGAATGAGACGTGGCCATGGTCTTTGTAGTCATTTTGAGATCATTTTGTAGTCCTGATAAAGCCCTTTGTTGTTTGTCTCGTGTCTCTGAGGTCACGCTGGTTACTTTACTACCTCTCCACTAAATATTTCAGATGGACATAAGACATTTTACTTCAATTAATGATTAACTCAACATTAAATAAAGAAGATAAAATCAATGTCACCATAACCAGCTCCATGTTATCTATCTGTTTTCTGATATATCTAATGTGACTTTCATACGTCACAGCAATACATTTTTTTACATTTTGTTGCTAAAACTTTTACATTTCCACTGAATAATTCTTCTCTACTGTCATCCATGTTGACTTCAGTGATGAGCTTCCTGTCTCGTTCTCAACAAAAAACTCAAGGTCCACTTACCTGCTTGCTCTTGAGCTTTCAACCATATTAGTCTTCATCATCAGCAGATCCTTTTCCCAAAAACAGAAATTACACCACTCATATATCGGCCATCACTGTCCTCCTATAGCTCACTACAGACACTGTAAGAATGCATCCATTATGAAAATTGTCTCTGGATTTTAAATGAAGTATTAATTAGTGAAACTAGATTGTTACAATAGCAATGACCAGACTAGTCAGTCTGTTTATTATTAGGCTTATTAAAAAACTATAGTTGAGAGCAATGGAGCTAATTTCATAATCACCTTCTGTTTGTGACAAAATGAATTCTACACCTGTAAAATCTGATTGTTGATGCGTTGTTTGTTTGGTCAGTCATGTAAACGTGGCTCCGGTGAAGATGATGTCACCAAAAACCTGGCCACTTGTGTCAGAAACTACACATGGCTGCCCACAGCGCCACCCAGTGACCAGCAGTCAGCAGTGTTTCAGACTGAAGTCACCTCAGGAACTGATCCTGAATCTTGATGGTCTTCATCACACACATTAATATATAATATGTTTTAATGTCAAAATGGGATCAACTCTAAATCACTGCAGGAAACAAAACATCTACATGAAAATTAAAGATGTGTGAAGTTTGAATTCTGCTGAACATTTTATCTACTAATAAAGAACTGTGAAGGATATTTTGTCGTTCTGTTCGTGGTTTATTTTTACTTTCAAACAAATGTTGATGTGAGAAAAAGAAACGTTAAAACACACACACACACACACACACACACACACACACACACACACACACACTCCTCTAATCCAGTTTATTTTCCTCAGCAGAAAAATGGAACACGATAAAATTAAAGGAGAAAATAGGACAGAATTATGTTCTTGCTTTTTTATACATATAACTAAATATGCCACTCTATGCTAGGGTGTAAGTAACTCAAACTGATATAAGGTTAAATAATTTTTTTCTTTAAAAGGTACAGAAAGATATTCAATTTCTTCCATTTCTCATTAGCACTCAAAAAAAAAAGGAACAAGTTTTTCAAATATTCAAATATCAAAATAAGAACCAGTCGTGACGTTTCTCCAGACTCCCTTTATCCTTCGCTGTGTTCTCATTGAAGAAGATGGGAGGGGAGGGGAGGGGAGAGAAGAAACAATAACTTGTGCATGAGGATTAGCATAGTTAAGTGGTGTCTGGTTATAAGGGCTACGTCCACCTCGATCAACATTTTCATAGTTTTGCAAAAAAAAACAAACAAAGAAAAGAACAATTTTCCTGCCATTCAAGGAAATCTGCTTCATGTCTCTGAATCCTCCAAATAAAAAACATCATCATCAAATTGCACTTCAATGCTGCAAAGTACATTTAATAGAGTCCTGCAGCTGTGTCAGAGAAACTGTCATTTATTCTTTGAATAAACCAACAAAAAGTTTAATCTGAAGAAGAAAACGTCAGATTCTGCAAAGTAACAAATAAAAAAGTCAATTTCGGTGAAACGGCCCTTTAAGGAGAAGAAGAAGGAGAAGGAAGAAGAGGAGGAGGAGGAGGAGGAGGAGGTGTGTAACTGAACAATATGCACAGCACAGAGTCCAAGCAGTCAGACTGTGACGGCCGAGTCAGAGCCGGGTCACAAACATGATGACAAACAGGAAAAAAAAAAAGAAAAGGGAAAGCCACTCAATTTGAGAATTCACACGTTATTTTCAGCGTCAGTTTGAATCTGTGATGTCAGGAGATGATGAACAGCCTCGACCGGGTCCAGCACACACCTGCGTGACGGACCACAGGAAGTCTGAGGGTCACATTTCATTTAATCGCAAAATTGAAGTGAAGAGAACCAAAGGTGTTTGGTTACTGGATCCAAAACTGAACATTCTGTCTTTGTTTGAAAAGGTCAACGTCCGGTTCATTTCTCAGCCTTTAAACCGACGTCGACTCGTGCTGCGTATCAATATGACATCACTGATTTAAACTGTGGGACGAGCCCATCTCTCTCTCTCTCTCTCTCTTCGATTTAATCGATTTATAATCAAACAGTTCTGATGCAGACAGACGCCCCCGCTCTGCAGATTAAATGAGGCCCAACCCACAAACACAAAGTAAGAATAAATTAGAATCATTAAAGGGAAGTGAGTCATTCATGGATTCAGTTTAGCTGTGGAGACGATCCGTGATCAACTTCAGATTATTAGTTTCTCTTAACAAACACACGGCGTTTTGGCGAATACAAAAACTCGCCGTATTCCTGCTTGTCAAGAACAACAGTACCACTCAGTGAGATGACGGGGGGGGGGGGGATCTGCTACACAGAGGATTTATCTCAGTTACTCTTGTCCATTAGTGTGGTGTTTATTTTTTTATACTTTTCTTTTTGTCCACAGTCCGTGAGCAGAGGCAGGGATTGGCTGTATTGTCCTCCACGACGCCGTGGTAACGCAGTAAAAACGAGCTAATCACCATGACGGCCACATGTAAAAAAAGAAAAAAAAAAAAAGAAGAAGAAGAAGAAGAAGAAGAAGGATCCTCACGTTAGCAGATGACAAACTCGCACCTGCACAGACACACTGACGACACTCAGCTGGTGACGCCGCGCGAGGACCGACTCACAGGTGGAAGAAGAAGAAAAACAAAGCGGAGGAAGGCGGGGCTACAGGTTTGATACTCCAACCCCCTGATGACGACCTGAGGAGCGGTCGTGGGACAGAGCTGGACCCCTCCCCCGCGACCAAGAAATGGAAAAAAATAAAGAATAAGTGTGAATGAGAATCCGAACGGATCAGTTCATCAGTTCGTCTCCCACTTCCTGTTCTGAAGGAGCACGAGCAAAGAGGAGGAAACCACGTGATGTACGACTGACGGGATCCATCTCTGCGGCGTCCTTCCTCTGAAGACGGGGGGGTGGGGGGGGTTAAGGCTGTGTGTGTGAACGTGTGATACTGAACGTGGCCCCCTGTTGGCCCCCCGAACTGCCTCGTTCAAACAGGAAATCAGGACGACGACAGGGCGGCGCCGAGCTCAGGTCCAGAATCGTAGGTCAGATGCAGGATGTTGCGACCGTGCCCCCCCCTCCCCCCCTTCTTCTTCTTCTTCTTCTTCTTCCCCGCCCTCCCCCTCCCACCCCATTTGTCACTCCTCCTCGCTCTCCTTCCTCCTCTCTGTAAGCGCCTCAGCTCTAATTGGATGGCCGGTCCCGGTGTGGCCAATCAGGAGCATTCCTCCCCGATGCGTTGGCACGAGCGGCCCACCTTGCGGTCCAGCTTCACCATCTTGAGGACGGCCTCCTCGCGCCCGCGGCCCAGATGGTCGAACAGACAGTCGTGCTGCTCAGGGAGACGGTGGAGCATGCAGAACACGTAGCCTGGAGGGGGGAGGGGAGGGGTGGGACAAACAACGTGGTGAAGGAGACGTTCTGGTGGTTTCACCTCAACAAACACAATCATGGCGTGTGGTACTGACCGCAGCGGCAGGAGCCCAGTTCCTGCTGCACCAGCTCTAGTTTGGTTTGGCAGCGGTAGCAGCGCCGGCGGTTCTTCTGCTTGGGCGTCCCGCCGGCCTCCTCGCCGCTCCCCTCCTTCTCGTCCGGCCGGGGCCGTTTCTCTGGTGTCGCCTCGCTCTCTGAGCTCGAGGCTGAAAACACAAGCGGCAGGGTGAAGAGTTAGCGCTCAGAGCTACAGGCAGGAGGAGGAAGAAGAAGAAGGCGGGGGGGGGGGGGGGGGCTGACCTGATTCTCGTGGACGTTTTGTGGGTGTGCAGAGTGTGCCTTGGGCTGTTTCTGTGGACGACACGCCTGCAGGGGGACATGAAGAGACGAGTCAGACAGGAAATGACCATCCATCCAAAATAAGACATGTACTGAAGGTTACGGACCGGTGCGGCGGGAAAAGCGTCACATTTTCATTTTGTGCTTAAAAGTGTAAAATGCCATTTTAATCAATATTCAATAAATAAAAACAGCTATGAAATTAATTAGGTCATAAATGTAGAATGATTGAAATAAATGTAAATATATAAATAAAACAAATTAATAAATACAGCTATAAAATAAATTAATTAGGTCATAAATGTATAAACATAGAAATGAATGTAAACAGAAATATATAAATAAATAGTTTTATAAATGAATAAATAAATAACTTTTTATTGACGACATTTTTATTTATTTCAGGGGACTTTTATTTTATAATTCCACATCTATTTATTTACTTCAGGAGACTTATTTTCCTAATGCCACATTTGTTTCCCAGCTTTCCATGTGTTATATTCAAATGAGGGGGCGTGGTCATCTGACAGGACACAGCACCAGCTGCAGAGACGTCCCCGCTCTACAAAGCTGTCAGGATTCTGATTGGACGTGGACATTTTATGAGTTCATACTGTAAGTGAAGACAGGTGACTTCATTAGAATCTGACTTCTACTCAGCAGTGATTGGAGGAAGGCCTGTGTGACATCATTTCCTGACTTCACATTAAAGTAAACTCCCTTGGTGCTCCTCAAAGATCCTCTACAACAAAGATGACGCAGTACAAGCAGCGCCAATGGCAGACACTTCCTGTTTCCTGTGTGGGCGTGGTCATGACTGCTTGTCCATAATAACAACAACACAATACAACACTAGATACAGTCTGAATTGACGCCCGACTTCGCTGCTGGTTTATATCTGCTAGCTTAACAACACTCCGTTTTCCCTCCCATTACAGTGGGACACACACACACACACACACACACACACACACACACACACACACACACACACACACACACCCCCCCCCGAGTCTGTCTTGTACCAGCAGCGTCACACAGAAAACCACAGCTGTATTCATGGATGTGGTCAGAAACTTACTGTAGCCTTTATGTCAGCAGGTTGTTGGTTTCCCTCCTTAAAAAAAAAAAAAACACCTTCCTGTTGTTGGCTGTCCCTTCTTACCTTCCCTCCTGCTGGGAAACGTGGGCGAGGGCTCTTCGGCTGACGGCTGCTCGGAGCTGGAGGCCGGCGACGACAAAAGGGATTGGCTACTGCTACTGCTCGTCTCGCTACTGAAGACGGCCGATTGGCTACTCCCGCTGCTCTGGATGGGCCTGGAGGTGCAGTCCTCCCCCGGCTGCTTCTTCTGGATGTCTGGGGTCAAGGGCGGCGAGAGAGGGAGCGGAGAGAGATGTAGATAAGAGACGGGGAAACAGACGAAGAGGGAGGACGAGACGAAACAAAGAGTCAAAACACTCACATCTGGATTCTGTTCATGCTACAACAACACAGCTGCAACTACAGGAGAGGATCAGGGCCACGGGTGGATTTTTTGTTTCTTTAAAACATTTAAAAACATCATTTTTTTCATAATTCACCAAACTGGTACTGTTGATCTGTCGGCCCACCTCAGTGTGTGATGACAGTAACCTGAGGACAAACCGAGCTCTTCTTCTTTGGTCCTGCGGCAGTTTAACATGTTTTTACATCTTATAGACCAAAATATTTACTGATGAATGAGAGAATAAACAGCACATCAATCAATAATGTAAATAGAGCTGCACAATTAATCAGAAATATAATCCACATCACAGGAGCTGCAGTTTTTCTATAAAAGGCAAAATGTGTCTCAACATTGTTTATTGTCAGTGTTGTGGAGACGCCGCGACCTACAGGTCAGGTTCTCCAGACGTAAAGAACAAGACCAACAAAAACCACATCATCACCATTTTTAGTTTTTTCTGTGTAATATGATTTTTTTTTGCATCTCTAATAAATGAATCTTTAGTTGCATGACGTCGCTGGTTCGAGTCCAAGCTCTGTCCGATCCCACTCACGAAAACCTTTAAACCAGGCTGCACCACATGACCAGAGGAGGACGGCACTGACCTCTGACCCCGGCTGTATAACGATGATCTCAGACATTATTGATCTGTTGTGGGGATATTGTCTTCAGAGCCCCCCCCCCAGGGAGGGTGAGGGAGGTCAGCCTGGATTGTAGCTCCTCCTTCACATGTGGAGCTAACCCACTTCTGAGTCTATTCTGAGCCTCACTGCTGTCTGTGATGCCAGACTCAAAGCCGGGGCCCGAGGTCCCGCGCTGTCTGCCGTGCTCACCGGTTGCCATGGCCACCGACAGCAGGGCTGCAGCACAGCCTCAACCCATCCTCCCGAACCAGAGTGAAGACGACGCTGAGAGAACCTGACGCACACAGTGACATTTTCAAATTTTAACTGGACCGTTTCCTTTTATCTGCGTCGACCATTTTGTTACGTCGCTGCAGAAAAACGAACTTTCTACATCGAGTCTGATTCAACAACTTCACAGCTGCTCATTAAGATTATTGTTTACATGACGGAGGCCCCGCCTCCTTTACACAAGAAAATACTTCTTAACTTTAACCAACATTTCCCTCCAAAAGGTGGACAGGTGTTTGGAGAGAGACTCTTAACTCGTGTCCCTCTGTGTTCCTCCGACTGCTTAGCATTGATAGCATTCCTGACTGAAATCAGCTGGCACGCCGAGCCTCAAGCTGCTGCTGCTGCTGCTGCTGCTGCTGCTGCTGCGTCCTGGCTGTCAGAGACAAAACGCCTCTACCTGCCAAGAAGCAACTCAACAAACAAACCGTTTCCTTCTCTTCCAGCAGCTGAGAGAGAAACCCAGAGACCATGAGCCCTGATCCTTCTACATAGATTATTGTCTAAAGCATCAATGAGGTCGTTTGCATCAGTTTCCTCTGCGGTCGAGAAATGATTTGCAGTGTACAGGTGAAACCCTCGACGAGTTGCACAAACTGAATGTTTTACCCTTTTTCTACCAACATTAGCAGGTTTTTTTAAACGTGGGTAAACCAGCTAATTAAAGCACATTGACCTCTTTCCCACTGACGGGCGAGTTCGTCTTTTTGTTCGGACACATAACTCGGGATGCCACGATCACGTTTTTTTTGCCGCCGATACCAATCATCTTTGTCATCACTGCAGATGTCACACACTTTGTAGAAGTTGTTTTGGCGGCCTGTCAGTGGGAGGCGGGGCCACACCACACTGTGCTTCTCTCAGCCGCAGACACCAGAATTTTAACCACAGCTCGTCTGTGACTAGAAGCTTTAATTCACATCTACATATCATGTATTTGAATGAAAATCAGCTGATGATGATCAGCGGCCGATCAATCAGAACACCCCTACTGCAAACTGGTAAAACAGATCATGTCTCAAGTGTCGGAGCATCTGATCAGTGACTGTGTTGTTCAAACTTATTTCAGGGCGGCAGCTTCACTCTTTCAGAGCTCAGCGTAGCTGCAGTGTTTCTGGTGTAACAGCAGGGGCTGGACAGGTGAAAGGTAACAGGTGACAGGAGAGGTTAGAGACATCACAGCAAAAAAAGACTGAGTTCACGGGTTTACATCACTAGCGATCGGAGCCGGAGCTGATAAATCCGTGCGTCTACTGCAGAGTCATGTGACCCATGTGTGAATGCTGACTGAACCCTTTTCCACTGCTGATTAAAGCCTGATGTCGGCGAGCCTTAGTGGGTTTGTTAACCAGAGGAAAAGGAGCTTTAGAAGAGGAAAGACGACAAACAGAGCTGGTCACCTGCTGGTGAACAAGACAGCAGTCCTACAAAACACCCGTTTGTCAGCGATTATCTCTCACTGCCACGTTCACAGAGAGGGAAAACATCAGCACCACTCTGCTGTGAGTGGACATTTTATCTGACAGGATTTAAACCCAGGAAGGTGCAGCTGCTCCGCCTGTTCCTCAGGTGGCAACCACATGAACCTCTGAGTTCCTCTCTTTGGCTTTTGAACTGTGTGTGTGGAGTGATGGTGAGTGGTGCGCAGAAGTTATGATTAAAAGAAAATGTTGAGGTGAGACTCACCAGCAAAACATTTGGAGCAGAGGTTCATGGTTTTACTGGACCTGAGGAGAGAGGACAGGAATGTGACTGATGACATAAATATCAGCAGAACATGATTATATGGATAAATGTTGAAAATGAGAATCATCTGTATCATCCAGTTCAGTGGTTCCCAACCTTTTCCAACTCATGGCCCACACCATGTCGGCAGCCCCATAACAACACAAATATACCATGTGCGCTGGTATATTGTATATAATGACATTTTCACCTAAACTGTTCTGTTTTGCAAACGATGTGTCGGCCCACTTGCAGCACCTTCACGGCCCACAGGTTGGGAACCACTGATCTAGTGCATCATTTTCTGGCTGAACACAGTTGTCTCGGTTGATGACACCTACACAAATACACAACTAAGAACACACAACCAGTGCAGGACAAACACAATCATTCAATCTCATTGTAGGATATTTTCAATGCTGTTGTGTAAAAGCCAAAACTAGTTTGTGTGTTTTTTAACAGTTAGAATCACCTGAACCACTGACACTGAAGGAATCCAAACTCCCATGATCCCACGCTATTTCATGACATCACCCAATGCCATCTTTTGTTCTTGTTTTGATTGAGAGACTTCTAGAGACGGAAGTTACTGACTGGGTTTAAACTTTAGATAAGTTCTGACGTTATCGGTTCAGCTCTCCATACTTTAGAAATTTAGAAATAAAAGTTATCTCAGACACATAATCACCACTTCCGTTTCTGATTAAGACATTCATCAATGAATGGGTGCAGGGGGTTAATGTTGAGTACATATGAGAAAATAAGAAATGTTAATTCTGTTTTTTATTAGTTTTTTTTTTTCTTACAAAATCACAAAAAAGTACCGATAAGAGAACTGTTAAAGTACCGGGTCAATAAGAGTAGTACCATTAAAATCTTAGCAATACCCCTCCCTCATGGGTGGTGGTACCTTTCCTACAGGTGCGTCCTGCCTCACCTTCTGGACCTCTCTTTAATGTTCAGGCCAACACAATACGTTCAATACGTGGCTCTTCTGTGTCAGCTGTGAGTCGGGTCAACAGTCAATAGGAGCTGGAAGTGTGTGTTTTCACATCATTGTTCCTACAGGAGCGAGGTGACTGAAGCAGCAGGACAAGCCTGCACTGAATGACTGCCCCCCCGAGGAGGAGGAGCTTTGTTTTCACCTGTTACGCTCATTAATCCCAAACATGTCATTATGTAAAAGGATCAATTACATTAAGACATATGTTGATGTGTATGTTTCACCAACATGTTGAATATGTTTTTATATGAGTTTTAAAATTGATCTAATTTATTTATTTATTTTGACTAAATATATATTTTAGTGGTTTCACTAATGTTACAACAGTTGATCTTATTCATTTTGATCTAATTTATGATTATTAATGTTTATATATATATATATGATATTCCTCTTTTTCCCCAGTGTGAACAGATATTCAAATTAAATTCACACAGAATAAAACACATTTACAGAAACAGTGAGATCCACACACAAGGTGACCCGACTTTATCTCAGTGTCTTTGTCTTTAACAAAGATTCAACACCAGAAGAAGAAATCACAGCCTGAAGTCATCCAAATAAGACGACCTAAAAAAGGAGACAGACTCTCCTTCATGTGGCTGTAGTTATACAAACAGTGTGAGCTTTACAGCAGGCTGTTGACCCCCCCCCCCCAGGTAACACTCCAACCAGGACACCAGAGGTAATATCTGATTATACCTACAGGAAAAGATAGCAACAAGCAGGGAGGAGAAACCAGATAAAACAAAACAGAAAAAAGCCATTAACCTTGAACCCTGGTTTTTAGTAACTTTAATTTATCCACTTATTTCATTGTAATTATGTTCTAAATTGTAATCTTATCTGTTCTTTTATTATTAATTTTCCTGTTTTTTTTGTTTGCTCATGTTATCGCAGCTTTTTAAATCTATTTGATTGAATCTCACCCTCAGCTTTCTCTCTTCTCTTTTCTTTTGAGCTCATCAGTGTGTGAAGCTCTTTGAACTGAACTCACCTGTATGAAAAGTGCTGTACAAATAAAGTTTGATTGATTGACTGAAGAGGACTGAACTGAGGCTGGAAGTATTTTCAATATTTCCCTCAGTCTCTCAGACACATCGTCCACTATGAGCACTTATATATGAGCACAGGCCAATATGGTCGACATTTCAAAAACATGTTTGACATCATTTCAGAACAGTTTCGTCATTACATGTTTTGCCAACCAGACAAGACTTTTTTCAAAATGAATAAATTGCCACTGAGCTCTGTTCACCTTCAGCAGAACATGTTTGTCTTCAGGAAGAATTCAACAGTTACAGGACGTTTTACAATAAAAAGAAAATGGCTGCCGTCTCTAAAAACTCTCTCTCTCCTCTTTGCTCTCTCCATAACAATGTTAGAAAACCACAAAGTATGAGCCATGTCTTCCTGTTTTTTGTTGTTGGGTGCTGTTGGTCAGGTCAGGTGTCATTAATTGTTACCATGGTAACATTGGTCTCAGGTTTGAGTTAACCTGGAGGTAAAGTGTCTAATGTTTCTGTCTTAAAATGAGTCAGTGTGTATTTTAGTGAAACAGTCTGACTGACATCAGACCAGCACTACAGACCAGTCTGACGTATCTGTGAGAAACTGACCCCTGATCTCATTATTAAAACATTAATTATTAAAACATAAAACATGTTGATTAAATTAACTGTATTCAACTGGAAACAACACTGTACTTCAGTGATGAGAGAACCATGTCACTGATGCTGCCAACGTTAAGAGCTCCACCTCTGAGCTCAGTCCTTCAAACCCCCGGGTCAGTTTCACACGGATACGTCAGACTGGTCTGTAGAGCTGGTCTGATGTCAGTCAGGCTGTTTCTGTAAAATACACACTGACTCATTTTATGACAAAAACAGGCTTTAACCCAGGCTAACTCGAACCTAAGACCAATGTTACCATGGTAACAATCAGAGACACGCGTGCTGACCAGTAGCAACCAACAACAAGAAACAGGAAAACATGCCTCATAATTTGACCAATGAGAAGGGACAGAGTTTTTTTTTTTTTTTTTCCAAATCTGATTTTTATTTTATTGTTTCACTCTTTCCTGAATTTTCAAAGTAAAACATCCTTGTAACTGTTGAATTCCTCCTAAACACAAACATGTTCTGCTGAGGGTAAACTGAGTTGAGGGGGTGGATGTGGTTCCTCATTCGGCCATTTTTTTCATTTTGAAAAAAAGTCTTAATTTACCCAGAATTCATTGTGCCACAGTCCGGCTTAAGCTCAAGAACTAAACTGCTTTGTGTAACAGATGAATTCAGACTCAGTCTATCTGTTTGTTGTATCTATGACACAGTCACAGTCTGTCCCTGCTTGTAACCTCATTCAAGATCTTCTTCAAGAGGCCTTGAGTTTCAGTGACATGTGTGGGACAGACTCTGCAGCCAGCAGCCCCCCCAGGCCAGGTGTTATTCTGAGCTGAGGCAGGCAGGGCCGTAAACACACACACACACACACACACACATACACACAAAAAACACTGTCACCATTAGTGTCACCTGACATTGACAGGTGGCTTCACTGGTTCCAGTTTGCTTACAGGACGCCACAAAAATGAAGGCAACTGGGGGAGCTAGCTGGGGCTTGGGGGGTTTTGTTGATAATCAAATGACAAGTCATATGAGAACATTGTGTTTTCATAACACCTCAAATAAAAGGACTGCTGTTATCTGTCTGGTTATATTTCACACATTAGTAGTTAAAAGCATTAATATATTAGTGTTACAGGGCTTAGAGTGTGTGTGTGAGTGAGTGTGTGTGTGTGTGTGGCTGAGTGATGACATGACAGTAATCTTATCACACTGTGTGTTTTCTCTGTGACTGAGCTACACCCCTGTAATAAGGAGGAACAGCGTTCATGTTTGCTGTTAAATGGATTAAAGGTTAGCTGTAGTCATTTTTCCTATGGGGTAACATCAGTGAATCACATCCGGTATGCAACACACATCCACCACTTGACAAGAGCGACTGTAAAAAGGCTGGAAAATAAGTCAAAAAACTGGTTTTATAAGCAAAGCTAGGTTTTCTGACTGATTAGCTAGCCGTGCTAACCGCTTTTCCTGAGGTGCTTCAAGAAAACAGGGCAGGTTTAAAAGGAACCTGCTGGCAATAAATCATTTTCTATGTCGGATACGTCATCTCCTGGGTTCACTAATTGCCTTAAAACACGGTGTAAAAATAACAGCGACTGCCCGAGACGTCGACAGACGGTTTGTTAGCTCAGAAAACAGCGGAACATTTAAGCTAGTTTTCAAGCTGTGAGGTTTATTTATTAGCTAACTTCCCAACCCCCCACCCTCGGCCTGCACAACAGAACAACAACAATGGGTTTGGACTAGGTGAAGCCGTTGGGCATATTTCATCCGGATTTACCTTTCGGTTTAAGATAGTGGGTTAAATATAGTTTATATTTTTTATAAAACTCACCCCCAAAATCCGCAGGGACACCGGGGAGGTAGACTCGGAGGTTTGCTTCGTTCACTGGTGTCTCCCATGACTTCCAACAAAAAAAAAACGCGAGGCTGGGGATGAGACCGGGGCCTGGTCGTTCAGGGAAAAAAACGATCCAACAACTCGAGTTAGACACAAAATAAAAAATAAAAAAAGATAAATGTCCTCTTTGTTTAAAGTCCACAAGTCGTTCAAAGAAAACGGGGGAAGGAGAGGGGCCCACAAAGCCTTCCGTTAAGAGAAACAAAACGGCTCAGTTTGAACTGGAATAATTGAACGGCACTCAAAGCAATCAGCTGGACGTTCGGACTTTACGACCGACAGCCGAGAAGAGGGGGGCGCCGCGGTGTTTCAGTCGACACCAAACGGCTTAAAAGACCCTCATCTGTCCGCAGACACTTCCAGGACACAACCACGGCGACGTTAAATACACGGGAGGGTCAGAGAAAGGAGAAAATAAATAGATAGACTGAGGCCTTCCCCTCTGAACACTTCAGGACCACCCCTATTCACACGTCGCTGGCACCGAGTACCGCTGGGCCGGAAACGCGTCCATCAAACCAGAAATGTCAATATTGCCCCAACGAAGCGACGGTGCCACAAACAAGACACGTCTATTCAACATTACACGACTGAAAACCGACGAAATAAACATAAAAATTAGAAATCTAGCATGTTATATTCACTTTAAATGAGCACAAAGCGAGGTATGGATCAGATCTGACTTGCTTTGATCACTGGTTTTATTGTAATCCGTTTTACCAGATTACAGAGACAGACTTAACTCCCCAAGACGTCTGTAATTAACAAAAGAAAATAAAATCAACCTGAAACCGGATTACATCACAACATTATCATTTTATCTAACAGGAGGACTGACATTGAAGACGTGACTGTGGTCACTGAAAGGAAACCTCATTCACATTAAAATGCAGCAGGTTACTCTACATAGCAAAAATAAGATGTGACAGCTGTTTTCCTAGCACCTCTGTTCATTGTATGATATAATAGTTTGTTTGTGGTGGTTCTAGTTGATTAAACTACCACTGATTGGTTCAAAGAGCTACATTAGCATTCATTAAGGTGAGTTTCAGGTGACCTAATGACCTGAAGTCCAATATTTACTCTCCTTTGAGCTCCAATTTGGCCTCCACCAAACTTTGAGGGCTGGCCCCCAACTCTCAGATTAACTCCAGATATAAATTCCTTTACAACAAAGGTTAACTTCTGCCAAATTAGCTGCACCCATTTTGGTCGTCTCTTTTCAGACTAAACATCTGTATATTTTTAGCTCATTGTAGGATATTATCAATGGTGTTGATTTTGCTACAGCAAACATGTAAAAAGCCAACAAGGGACAGTGGTGGAGAATTAGCAACAGATATAAACTCTTTGTGGAACACATTCATTTCACGCCTTGTTTTCAAACTGTTAAATTGCATCGTCCCTATTAAATAAATAAACTGAACTGAAAATGGACAGAAGTGACGCTGATGAGAGTGAACTGAAACTGTAAAGTTGGGAGCTATCTACCCTGCTACCCTTATAAAGGGTTTATGAATGGTTAATAATTATCTTATTAATCCAATTGTTAACACTTTATAAAACATAAATAAACAATTATAAACAAGTTATAACACAGTTTTCATACATTGATGCAGGCTCACTATTTGGCAAGATGATGGTATTGCTTACTACTCATTAATCTTACTAATGAGTTACTACCATTTATAAACGGTAAGAGGAGCCTTATTGTAAAGTGTAAAACACGTCACCAAACAACAAACTTGAAGAAGCAGCAGGTACAGATGCTGATGATGGAGAAAACAAAGAGATATGAGGCTGAACAGTTCAGATACATGTGGGCTCACTATTTGGCAAGCAACAAGTCACTGTTGCCGTCTTTATCTAATGTGTAATAGTAGCTTATAGATGATTTATAAAGTGTTCAGTTAATTAGAACAACAAACTATAATTATTGCAAGTCATAGTTCATATTTTCAAATGTTTGGAAACAAAAGGATCTTTCAAAAATATTTGCAACCTGGCTGTATTTGGCCTCCGTATCACTATGTGGTCGAATGTGGGCTACAAACATTTTAAAGATTTTATGGAGCCCTGAGTTGGAAAAGGTTGAGAACTGCTGAACCACATACAAACCATTCAGAAATCCTTCATAAGGGTCGTCTTATGGCAGATTTAAGTTCAGGTAGCACAAGATAAAATGAAATGATAGCGGCTTTTAAACCAGATTTTATCTCTACAGGATAGAGTGTCCACATCAGGTAATGATGCAGGTGATGCGCCTTATTCAAATGACCACAAAAGCCACCTTGTGGAAGAGTTAGCTTCTGGCTCGCTGAGGATTGGGGCCCCGGGACAGTTTGCTGCTTCGCCCGTAAAAATGCCCAATAACAATTATGCCTTTGATCAGTTATTACATTAATTTACAGACAAATCCCACACAGGTTAAATATGACTGTTTCCACATCAGTTGAGCAGGTGAACTCAGGTTTCTGTCCCACTGCTCCGGTTAAACCCTCTCACTGTTACTGTGGACAAACAAGATGATGACTGAGGCGACAGAAACGAGTCAAATCTGACATCTGAGCTCCAAAATGAGAAGATGTTAAATGTCTGTAGCAGTGACCGGATCATGATGAACACTGTGACAGAAGCTCTCAAGACTAGAGAGAAGATAGACATCGCTGTATTGCTTGTATCAAAGACCTCCGCTGTGTTCGACAGCAGTGATTCAGGCAAGCAGCAATAAACATTAATGAACAATGTCAGTTGTTTCCATTATCACATTTTTGACAGGCAATGTTCTGAACAAGAGGCAGTGAAATGCAATCACACGTCAATGGTCAAAACAAATATATATATTAGGTCAAACTATACACATACATAAAGTTAGATGGGGGTGGGGAGTGTGTTCTCTACATTACAGTGTAACCTGAACAACGGCCTAATTCAGTCCTCTGGTTATTAAAGAAGACTTAATCCAACCAATGGCTAATCTTCTAAAACATAGATGGATGACTAGAGGAGGTTTATAGAAACATCAGTGTCATTAACGTAATTCAGATTATTTAACATCAAACAAAAGGTTTCAAAATAAAAGACAACTCAAAAGTGCAACATCAGGACACGAAGGAAACAAACAGGAACCACAGCACTGAACGGACGCCCAGGAAGGCGAGCGAATTTATATTTTTGCCAGGATCATTTTTTTTCATCATTATAAACACCCCGAGAGGAAAGTGATTTTTTTTTTTTTGTTTAAAAAAAACTTAAAATTGAAAAGGATTGCCCCCCCCCCCCAAAAAATATTCTTTTCACTTGCATTTCATGACAATGTTTTTACAGCCGAAAAAAAAGATGATCCTGGAAAAAAAAAGAAGAAAAGCCTTTCAGGGCTTCCGTAGGTCCTTTAAGGCGAGGGAAGGTTTTTTTTCGCCCCAGGAAAAAAAAAAAAAAAAAAAAAAAAAAAAAAAATCATCAGTGGCCTCTCGGGGGTCTTTATAATGATGAAAAAAACATTTGGAAAAATAATGATCCTAGCCAAAAAAAGAAAATAAATTAAAAAAATTCACTTGCCTTTCGGGACTTCTGTTCACTGAGAGATTCATTTAAAACAAACCTACAAAAACACACAAAAGACTGAAACCTGACACGTCCGAGAGCGAGGAAGTGTTTCAATTCATTTCACACACAAACACAAAGATACCAGATCCAGCACCCCGGTACTGTTCTTCAGTCAGAAGACCCAAGCTGCAACCTTTATTTCTGTCTACTTGAGTAAAGAAAAATAAAGTGCCAATAGCAGCTGCTCATGTATCTACGGTATAGAAACTTTCTTCCAGGCAGCCCTAGTGCATACATAATTTGGTCCGTCTCAATGTTCAACTAATTGATTTCCCCAATCATTTGTGCTAAGCTATTCAAGCGCTTAAAATGCTGAATTAAGACACTTAATTAAATCTAGTTTTCGTTTTAGTGAGGTGTTTCTTTGTTTTCTTGAGGTATGAATTCTAACTATCAAAAACGTCACACCAGAATAGGACCAGAGGTTTTTTCGTTTCAGGTGTGAAAACCTGTGAACAAATACTCAAACAGCTATTACTTAATATGCAAATGCATAATTGGATTAAGTGCTATTTGCATACAAATGCCACAGAATGCGTTAGCTCCACAGCTTTGGCAAAACCCTTTTGAGAATTGAAGTCTAAAGTTTGAAAAATACTCGACTGCTACTCCGTTAGCTCGATGGTATGAAAAGTGAGTAGAGTCCGTTTAAGACAGTTTCTTAAAAAAATAGCTTGTTTAAGGATAAAATCCACTTCTTTTGGAAATATTAACTCGTAAAATTCAGATAGCAACCCCCCCGCCCCCCCACACCCTGGTCTTACTGCTCTTTGGTGGTTGGGAAAACCACGTTTCAGTGTGTGCCTCATCTTTGGAGAAGTAAAGTTTCCACTTCGTTTTGAAGGGAAAAAACTCGAGTCTTAGTAGCTAAAAAAGTACCTTCACAAAAATGCATGAACCAGTGGATGTTAACACCCAACTATCAGTTTCAGAACTGGGAAGACTGGAGCCCTAGATGCTGCTGCTACAGATAAACCAGTCTCTAATGTTGCACTTATGACAGAGGGACCATGGGTAATGACAATGAGACGATCGCCGGACGTTAGCAGCGTTGTAGCAGTGCAGTCTGGATGATGACGGCTGTGCAAAATGGCATTGTGAGGTCCCCCCCCCACCCCCTCCTCTTAAGGATGGGACTGCGAGGACGACGATGAGGTGGAAGAGGGCTGGGAAGGCAGCAGGCTGTGTGTGCGTGAAGGTCGCTGGGGTCGCGGCTGCTGGGGGGCGGAGCCAGAGTCGGAGGAGTTCAGGCCCGGACTGCCTTCGTTCACCTCGGCGTTGAGCTGGGCCGGACACTCGAAGTGAACACAGTGGAAGACCTGCAGAGAGAGGACGGTCACATGGGGGGAACCACCAGCACACACAACCCCACTGAAACCCCTCCTCCCTGGGGTAAAGTCCGATCTCTCTCCCTCCTGCAACTGGTTCAGAGTCCAGCAGCTCAGTCTCTTACTGGTTCTAACAGACGACGTCACATCACGTGACCCTCGCTGCCCTCCATCGCCTCCCCGTCTGTTTTAGAACTGACTGTAAGATTTATTTTTCTGATCCTTTTAATTTCGCTTTTATAGCTTTTACTGTATTTGCATGTGTGTGTGTGTGCGTGTGTGTGTGTGTGCGTCTAAACGGCATCTGCTCCTCTAATTGTCCTTATTGATATTGAGTCATACTGTTTGTCCTTCCACTGTAACTTGTCTGTCTAATATTTGATTTCTGTCAAAGCTCTTTGTAAACTCTGTTTTAAAGGTGCTATATAAATCAATATATTATTATTATCATTATTATTATAACAACACTGTTATAATTATATTATATAATATATATTCTGCTTGTGAAGGCGACAAGCAGCCACCATCAGTTAAGACACGATTAATCCGGTTAATTCAGGCAGGTCTTTAAAGCGTTCAGGTATCCAGTGAAAACACCTGAGACTCACATTAAAAGAAAAACAGAAAGACGTTCTCACCTCATTAGCAGTGTTGTGAGTCCCAACAATACGGATGAAGGACGCAGGCTGCTTATCGAACTTCAAGGTCTGCCATGATCTGTAAGAGAGAAACACATCAACTTTCAGACTCCATCTTTGTTTGTATGTGTTTTTATTTACAACATGTCTGTCTGTGGTGATTGTGTCACAGCTCCCTGATTATTGTACAGAGACAGTTTCTGCTTCTTCAGGTTCAGAGTTCATCTACCTATTTAAAAAAACATCTGTCAAAAATAAGACTGAGTCAACAACAGCTCGATGATAAACTGCAATAATCTTTGAAATGTGGAGACAAGCTCTAAGATTTGTTTTGTTTTTCTCCCATTAATTTGAAAAATCCCATAAGCCACTTGAATTCAAAATGGCCGCCATTCCTGGCATAGGAAACATATATTTTACCACAGAGTTTTACCCACAGGACAGATTTCAATCATTTTGTAAAATTAATGTTTTAGACTCTGAGGACGTCAAAGTCACAATCTTACATTTCCTCAGAGCTTCATTGGTGCAGTTTCTGATGTCGTGAAAATGTGTCTACTTTACTCGTCTTAACATTAGCTCTCTAGGCTAACTCGCTAGGCTAGTCAGCAAGCTTTGATCGAGATTTGACACCTGGATGATTCATATGAGAAAATACTGGATGAACTTATTGCAAAAAATAACAATTCCGTTGCCAGAAATGGCGGCCATCTTGAATTTTCAAGTGGCTAATGTGTTCTATCCACACAGTGATACGAGGAGGATTCGTGTCACGTTTAGCACTTGTTTCCACATGTGAAAGACTTCCCTGAAACATGCAGTTACCAGCGGAAGCAGTGGTTCAAGGGGCCAGTTCCTCTGTTTTACAGCTAACATAAGAACGAACAAAGGTAGGTGTCATGAAAAAAACAGTGTGTGTGACAGATAACTACAATGATGAAATATGACCTGTATGTGCAGAACCTGTTTCTCCACCGACTTAATGTGCAACAGAAGTTGTTTGTTCTGGATCCCTGCCTCAACTCAAAGACGTGTTTTCAGATCAGTGTCTTTAAAGGACCAAGGAAAAAGATGCTGCCTCTTGGCGTCATGGAGGAAACGGGAGTAGCGGGAATAAATCACGGCACGGTGAAGGAGACGGGAGCCTCACCGACACGCCACCCTGGTGCGGTCGACCACCTTCGTCCACTGCTGCTGGTTGGTGGAGACCTCGATGTAGTAACTGTAGGAGCGCTCGTCACAGTCCCAGAGCAGCAGCCTGAGCAGAGGAGAGGCAGAACAGTGAACTGACTCCGTCTGCACTTTAACCGCTCTGACGTCTTCATGACGTCTCACACTGTCGGTTCAAACGGTGCTGATCCTTTAGATTGATGCTGCAGTAAATATTGGTTAAACATACAACTGCCACTTCTTGTAATTTATATCAACACTTTCAGTTGTAGCAGGTGAAATAAAGAGTTAATATCCAAGTTCTACTATTAATTATTGAGTCTGACAAACTTATAATCTATGATGTTACACGAACACTAATTTTTAATTTTTAAATAAATGGAATGATGACTTGCTCCTGTTGTAAACCAAACTCAGGCTGCGTCCACATGAATGATCTCCGACACACACATGACCAATCACCCACACTGAGCATGTGCGAGCCGGTGTAAACAGGAAGTAGATTGTCTCCTCTGCAGCTGTAGCATTAAAACAGAGAATGTAAGTGAACAGCAGCTGCAAAGACAACAAGGTCAGTAACTCTGTCATTCATCATCATGTTGTATTCACCACTGGTAGTCCAGGCTGATGAGAGCCAATCAGGAGAGACCGTGGCTGTGACCTCATCCATTACAAAGGTCTCACTTTCTGTCCAGACTACAACACAACCCGAGTTTTCAGAATAAAACACAACCCCAGAATTTTCAGAATAAAACACAACCTCAGAGTTTTCAAAATAAAACAACCCCAGACTTTTCAAAATAAAACAGCTCCAGCAGAGTTTCTGAAAGATTCTGTTTTCGTTGTGTGGACGGAAGAAGAAATGTAGGAAAAGAGACGCGTTTCAAAAGAAAAACGTTGACACATGGACGCAGCCTCAGAGCTGACAATGTGGCCACGCCTACCTCAAGGAGCCGATGGAGTAGGGCTGAGCCAGCTGGATGACGATGGCTCCAGAGCCCAGCTGATGGCAGGTGTATCCGGAGTCCCAGTCGTAGTTGCGCGTGTCACCGTTGAGCAAGGCATTCCTGCTGCGGCTCACGCCCTCGACGACGCTGGCACAGGACGCGATGGTCGCCACGTTCTCACTGGGCACTGCAGACAGGAAGCACAGGTCCAGACACATGTTTTCATGGCAGATGTTTAGCTGCTTCAGACTGTTTAGCACAGTGAAAACTCAGCAACTTACCCACAAGCCCGTTCTCCAGGGTGAATGGGTGGTTTGTGAACATGCATTCAAAAGCCACGAGGTGGAAGACCTTGTTGACCGTGTTGTGTGTTCCCACGATGCGAACATACCTGAGATAAACAACAACAACATGAGATATGAGTCGACCACAATCCGCTCTATAAACGACCAGGAGGACCTGATTCCATCTCTGTCATTTTAACAAAGAGCTCACTCGCAGCTCTTTGTTAAAATGTCAGAGGTGGAATCAGATTCGTTTTGATTGTTACGGCCGTGGCCGTATTCGGGGGACCTTTGTTTTTCCCTGTGTGTGTGTGTGTGGTTGTGTTGTGTTCTGTCTCGGTCGCCTGTTGTTGCAGTCTGACCCTGCGAGAGGGGATGCCCGTGACGTCACCGGGATTTCCTGGGAGTGTTCCGCCTTTCCGCTGCACCTTCAATGCTCCAGCTGCAAGCCATCTCTCCTGATCAGCTGGGCCCGCCTCTCGTCTCCACCCAGCGTATAAAAGAGCTGTCAGTTGTTTGTTTGGGGCGATCTGTGTTGTCCGTACGCAGACTCGCCGCCGCGCTGTTGTGTACCAGTGCTTGTTGTGCTTGTTGCTGTTGATTGATTAGAGCCGAGTGAAACAATGTGAAGAGCTAAGGTTGTGTGTTTTTGGTTGTCTAGCGTAAAGCTAAGTGCAGCTCTGTTTGAGATCTGGTGTTTTGTTGTTTTGCTTTTCTTTTGTTAGCTGCTGGTGTTCTTTTGTGTTATTTGTGTTATTGGGTGGCTTTGTTTTTCTTGTGTCGCCTCTCTTTTTGTTTACCCTGCTTACTTTTGTTAATAAATGACCTAATTTAACCCTTAACATCTTGGGATTTATGTTACTTCCCTTTCCCCTAACGAGCTGGTTGTAACATGATTCATCCACCAACATCTCCCGCCTGAAAAGAGGACAGATGTGCTTCATGTGTGCGAGCCCTGCTTCTCTGGTGAACAGGTGAACATGCCGTAACAGTTGGTGTAAGTGAAGTTTACCTGCAAACTCGTGGTGTGAAGTACAGATTCTGCCACGAGCGGCACAGGTATTTGGAATGGTCCACAACACGCACCCAGTCCAGCTCATCCATGGACACCTCGATGTAGTAGGAGTACGACCTTCAACGATCAGAAATGACATTAGAAACACAAACCGCCTCTGACTGAGTCGCTACAACGAGGTTCATGTAAAAGCTAAAAACAAAACGCGTCTTTTAAAATGTGAAACGGAAGAATCACGTTCAAAATCAGAGTCCATAAGAAAAGAAAATGGATTCTGTCAGAAATCACTGTGTAAGACGCAGATTTGTTTTTGGCGTTTCAAACCTCCGATCACTTTGTTACAACGGAGTATTATCTAAAATTATGGGGGAAAAGTTGCAATATTTCAAGAATAAAATTGTAACATTAGGAGAATTAAAATGTAAATTTGGAGAGAAAAAAACTATTTTTATGAATATTACATCAACCAATCAAACAGGTGAACAGACAGTCAGTGGCAGCTGCTGTTTGTCTGTCTGACAATAGAATAGATTCAGTTTCTTCACAATCTTTTCAATGTCCTGATGAAGGTGATGATGATGATGAATCAAAAGATGAAGGTTCTCCTTATTAGTGAAACCTAAAGTAGAACTTCACAGGATGTTCCACGTTCCTCATTTTAAAGCTTCTGATGTTTCCCTCTAAAAAACACTTGACCTAAAATTACAACTTTATTCCTGTAATATTATGATTTTATTCTCAAAATCACGACTTTATTCTTGTAATTTCAGATGTTTTCCTTGTTGTGGTGCTAATACTCCGTCGTACTTTGCCAACACAGTTTGTTGGAACCAGTTAAACTACATTTGAGTGCTGCCAGTCAGCTACTTCAACAATAACCACTGTGAATTATACTTCATATGTCCAAGATAAACTAAAATTAAAATCTTCTTCGTTAGTCTGTAACGTGTCTCCTTTGTTACCGGCTGTCTCTGTCCCACAGCAGGAGACGCATGTGGTTGATGATGAACGGCTGGCCCAGTTTGACCTGGATCCCGGCCCTGCCGTCCTCCTCGATGGGGTGTCTGGAGAAGCCGTGGTCCAGGTCGTAGTTCTGGGTGTCCCCGTCCAGCAGCGCCGACTTCAGCTCCCCTTTCACCACCTGAGCTCCGTACTTCATGGTGGCAATGTTCTCCTCTGGTACTGGAACCCAAGAAGGAAGACATGAAGGACAAGTGCAAATAAAGACGGATAAGACACAGAAATCACCTCGATTTCATTTTCATTTAATGTCTGATGAGGATTCATGGCAGCAGTAAGAACAGTAAGACACTGACTGAGCATCCCGCGGTAGTTCAGGTCCATGTTGCGACTCTCGGAGCGGGTCTTAATGGCGTCCAGCAGGTCGTCTGGGCTGAGGAGGCCGGACGGTCGCACCACGTTCAGCATCTCCGTCAGGGTCATGAGAGGCAGCCGCACCGCTGACATCACTTCCTGCGTGTCAGCCCCCTCCTCGTGCTGCCGGCACCAGCGACACAAGGCCTGGAAGATCTCCTTCTCGCTGGTGGCAAATGAGTCTCTGCTGACCACGGTCAGAAGAGCAGTCTGAAACAGAAAGAAAGATGACAATTTCTCACTATTTTTTATATGCTAATTGATTAATTTACAAAAACCTGAACAAAAACATATTAATCTGGGTGTGAAGGTTTATGGGAATGTCTCCATGTCATTATCTTAGCTGAAGTTACATCACGTGACAGATGCTGCAGCCTGAAAGCTTGTGGTTTCACACACACCTGAACTCTGCTGTGCCATCTTGTCAATCACCTGCCACTAGAGGTCACTGTATCCCAGGTTTATGTTACACCAAAGGGATGAGACATGAGATCAAACCATACTTCTTGACATATGGAGCAGTGAGCGTTGTCCTGATGTAAGACTGAACCATACTGCCACCTCGTACCTTGGAGAGCGAGAGGAAGCCGTCAGAATTCAACACCTCAGGTGCGTGTCTGTCCATGTAAGCACAGCAGGCTGCACTGAGCGCGCTCAGAGAGTAGAGACTGGCCACGTCAAAGACCAGGCAGACGTTGTTGGTGTGCAGGATGGTGCGCAGGAACTCGGAGGTAGAGTCCTCCAGCGGCTGCAGGCCGTAGCGGTGAGCCAGGCCCAGGAAGTCCAGCAGCACCTCCTCCCGGGCGGAGCTGAGGCTGGCCCTGCCCGTGTACAGGTAGTTTAGCAGCATCGAGAAGGCTTCGGCCCGCGTCTCCTCCAGACACACCTCTGCCTGGGGCTGGGACTCTTTCATCCCACCGTACAGCAGAGCTCTGAAGGAGCCAGAGGTGTTCATAGTTTTTATTTATTCAAATGGTTGTAAATGTCCTGATTCATTTTCTACACAAAGATTTGACTTCAGACTGTCACAAACAGCAGCCAGCAGTCTTACAAACACACAGCATTTTATTCTGAAAAACACACTGAGTAATAGAAACTGGCAAAGCCTCAAGCCCCCCCACTGACTAAATCTCATGTGTATCTAGAGTTAAACAAAAAACACAGAGGAGAGGCTGTGAAATTACAGATACAACACTGACATAGAATTCATCTTCATTTGTGCAATCTACAGAGTAATAAGAGAATCGAACACTTTAGTATCCACAAACCCAAGATGAAGAGAATCAGCCAGTCCTCACATTTAAGGAGATAGAAAGAGGAACTGTTTGGCAAGATTTCAACAGTTGCCAGGACAAGATACGTTTATAAAGTTTCACGCAGAGCAGAGGTGGACAGTCCACAGCTCCATTACTGGAGTCAGAGTAATGATCCTCATGGTCAAATATTACTCCAATACTCCAAAGTGAAAGTTGTTCAGTCAGATTTTTGCTGGAGTACTTCATTTTAAAAATATTGAAGTATTTAAAAGTATATTTGCATGTCTACATCGTTGTATTGTTCCACATTTACAGAATCTAATGACTGTGACACAACCTACTGACTGACTGTAGAAGCTGTATCTATGCTACAAAGACTGTAGACATGTCTGTAAAAACACAACTAATTTAACAAAAGAACAATTTTTTTAGTCAGTGATGAAGTCTGGTTGTGATAAACACAGCAAACATTTCACACAGCAATCTTCTTTATTTCTAAACCTTCAAACACAGACTCCAGATCAGACCATGGTCTCTGGTGAAGAATCTTCTGCTTCATCTTTATCTAACGTTGTCATCGTTAGGACACTGACAGGTTCAAACATGACTGACAGTGGAGGAGTTGGCTGTGATTGGTTTTTTCTCCTGAGATGACCACAGCATATGGTCTATCACGTTTTAGAAAATAAGATTCATTCCACTGACTAAAAGCTAAAGGAAGTACTTCACAGAAATGTAGAGGAGTAAAAGTATTTTTAAACTCCAGTACTCCAATACCTTAACTATAGTAAAAATCTGACTGAACAACTTTCACCTGTATTGATGTTACATTTGACCGGAAGGGTTTCTATACTCTGACTCAAGTAATGACGTTGTGTACTTTGTCCACATCTGTCTATTTCCAAGCTCATGAAATAAAAAGTAACACTGATTAACATTTACAGAAAGTCTAATGTTAAAGGTTCTTTGCTGCAGGGTTTGTGCTTCCAAAAATCAACAATGTGTAATTTTCCCAGGGGTGGCCAAACCTTTCCATGCAGCTGTTAATATGGGTCTACCAAAGGCTGTGTAGTATTAAGAGAGGTAAGATAAGTGACAACATTTACAGTTACCTGAAGTAGTGACAGCGCGCTGCCAGGATGACCCGGTGCGCAGGGAAGCGCTTCCCCTCTACGATGAAGGTAACATCGCTGTACTCTTCACCGAGCACCAGGGCTCCCAGCTGCTCCGACAGCAGGTGGATGTGGTCGATCTCCGACACGGAGGCCAGTGGACGCAGAGGGTGACTGTTACTCATGGTCGACGTGTGCCACAGTCACATCTGACACACAAATAATCACGTCAACCGGGCGGTTAAACCAGAGGCACACAGCACATACAGTAGCTAGTTCATGCTAATTGCTAACTACGATGTCACTAACATGACGGCAGTCGCTAACAAATTCACGCCGAAGACCAGTTACTGTATTTGCCACCATGTCTGTTGTTAAAGTTTTACATAAACAACTCAATTAGCAGACTAATAGTCGTTACGCGCTGTCCCTAGCTAGCTAGCTGAGCTGTTGTTGACAGCCGCCGGTGTCGCGGACATTTGACACCTGAACAAACGTTAGCTAGCAGCTCGGATATCTCCTATTTTCCCGGTTTTAAACTTACCGAGCGGCTCTCATTCACTCCTGTGTTCAGATATATGCGTCAGATAATCTAAAAAACAACAAAAAACAGTCGTGGTTCTTCTTCCAATGTGCATAAAAAGCACCAAATTCACAATTCTTCCAGCATCACATCACCGGAAACCGATTCTGGGTCAACGGACAGGCACTTCCGGTTCGAGAAGCTGGATTTCAAAATAAACGTTTCTCAAAGTTATTATTCCGCAATTGTTTGCTCTGTACTCTGAAAAAAACATGTTTAGGCGCGATTATGGGTAATTTAATTGTCCTACTTGTGCTGACGCAAATGTATGATGATGTTTTGACTCGTTCTTCGATAACAGCTGTTAAACGCTGTTACACGTTTCCTGTTTTATTGTCCCGTGGAATGACTGCGTGCAATTTTGAACAAAGCATGACATATACACATATGTACGTATATTTCGTATTTATGTCTATGGAACAAAGCGTCAGATTGTTCTTTTATCCAATTTGTACATTAAAAAGTGAACGAGGAAGTCGAGAACCGGAAACGGACGGCTCACTTTCAAAGTAAAAGTCGCGCGTTTTGCACAAGCTTGCTGCAGCGGTCAATTTAAGGAGAGCTAAACTGAATAAATATATACAAATTGTCTAAATAATGAACATAGGACAGACCTGTCCTACATTTCTGCCAGTCTCCCATGACTGACTGGGAATAAATTGCCAATGAACACTGGAGCTATTACAGTGTTGTGATTCATAAATGAGTGTAATGATTCATTTATTCATTTGATTAAGGTTAGTTAATCAGTTATTTGTTACTGAGGTGACATTGTACCATATAAGGTTCTCCCTGTGGTTTGTAATTTTAGGGGAGAGACCTGCATGTTCACAAACTGTGCTGCGACACCCGAGGTAGCAAAATAAATCCGGCCCATACTTGGGCCACATGCTTGTTTTCCTCTGGCCCAGTATACACCTGGTTCTACGGCCTGAATAGCCTGATTGTCAGATACAACTTCCACATCTGGACCAATTCCAGCACACAAACGTGAAAATCTTGCAGCTGTCAGACAACACAGGAGGAAAACAGCCGGACTTTGCCCAGATGTGGAAGTAATATGGGCCAGACTCGGGCCAAGAACACAGGCATATGTTGGACCAGAGGTTTCACTTTTACTATAGGAATAAAAAAATGTTAATTCCTAAAAAGGGCTGGATTCACCTTTTAATGCACAATCCATGATTATGATAGTGTTCAATCCTCAAAGCAGAAAAATAACAGACTAGAATTATAAATATTATATTTCATTATGGAAGCCTATAGAGGACTTTATTATTTCCATGACAGCATTGTAATTTTTCAATCACGCATGTGTTCTAGGATGACACTGGACTGGACTGATGAGCAAAGTATTTAATCCTTTACTAGCACTCAGACAGTGGTTATATTTCTACTAGTGAAAGAAAGCCAAACATACAGGTCAAATCATATTATCTTGAATAAAGCAACAAAATTCTAAATCAAAATCAGTACATCAAAACATTTTCACTCTAAATATATGATCATGTGAGAACAATCCAAGGAGATTAGATGTACTACTTTACAACAAAATAAACATGAAATAAACTACTGACCCACAAAGGTGAAATGACAGAAAATGAGCTCGACTGAAGGACAAACAAGAACTTCCCTCTGACAAGTTATTGCATCAGATAATAAACAGATGAAATATGAAAATAAAGACTAAAAACATCAAAGAAAAATCAGTAAAACTGCTCAACCTTCAGAATTATTGCCTCTACTTTTTACACTGTGACACCAGCTAACCTACAACACCCCCTTCTGGTTCAGAAGCTGTTTACACCAATCCATCCTGACAGTGATCAGATGTGATTGGTTAAGTGATGCTGGTGTAGAGGCTGTTGGGCTCAGCAGAGGGAGTTCTCACAGTGCTGTAGGTCACAACATCGTTTTCATGATCGTCATTTTTACTCCCAACCTGGAGGGAAACAAATCAACACAACACAATTAAATACAACACACTGGGACATCATAAACCCTAACAACATGAAAAGCAACACAACGTAACACAACACTGTGGAGCAGGGATGTCACAGGAAACGTAATCAAGCATTTCCTTCATTTCATATTTTAAAAGGCATTAAAAACAGGAATTGTAAAAAGAATGAATAAATGATTAATCCATCAATAAATATTTAAAAGTGTATTTACAAAAACAGCATAAAACTCTCATTAAATAAACTATTTATAGATACATTTATTAATTCATGAATAAATAATAGACTTTGAAGAACTACCTGTAGTCTGGCCCATATTACTTCCACATCTGGGCAGAGTCCGGCTGTTATCCTCCTGTATATATTATATATATCGTATTGTATATTATATTTCCCCACTGGCCATGGGATGTAACAAGCTCTCTGATTGGCTGACGAGCTAACCAGTCATATCAGGTTTTACCAGCACTGAAGCCTGTCACAGAGAGGCTAACAGGAGAAGCTAAATGGCTACGCTAATCGATTAGCTAACAGGAAAAGGAAAAGCAGCTGGAAAAAGGAAATGGAAATTGAAGAGGGAATCCAGGAATGTGTTCACATTTGTAAAATGTCTTTTCAAATTCTATTGTATTCATAAATGGTTTATTTAATGAGTTTTATGTTGTTTTTGTAAATGCATTTTTTAATCTTAAATATTTATTGATGGATTAATCATTTATAAATTCTTTTTACAATTCCTATTTTTAGAATATGAAATTAAGGAAATGCTTTATTACTTTATTATCACAAAATGACATTCACAGACTCTTTTATTAAACTGCTGAAAACTATTGTTTCCTCTCTCACCACCATCACCTGTTGAACCAGTCAGACAGCTCACCTGGGCTCTACTATCGGTCTTCTTGGTGTAGCTGATGGAGGCGTAGGAAACACCTTCTTGAGGATAAGCCTGCACAGTGAACATTATAATTTTATTTATTTGTTTATTTGATTGGGACAATACATGTTAATGAACACCAGCACAAAACACACGACGTAAACACAGCAGATTGTAGCAGAAATGCTAATTTACCTGGACAGGAAACAAAACAAGTAAAAAATGATGAGAGATCTGGTTTGACTGGAGCCAGTGTTTGAGAAGTGTCTCAAAGGTGGGACATGTAGGACTCTTCTAACTTTATTCTATTTGATCACAAGCAGCACTTTAACTTCTATTACTTCTGCCAAGGAAGGGCTCATGAGGAGTTTATTTTATTTGAATCAGAAGTTTATTTTGGTGGTGGTTTGACCTCTGACCTCTGCTCTCACAGTCAACTGCTTGACATGATCTAGTTGCATCATTTAACTTCCTCTTTTTATATTTGTGGTCACATTTTCACACAGATAACTGTGTGGGTGTGTTTCACACAGAACCAACACCAGCAGGACTGAGTGTGACTTTGTCCTGGGTGAAGAGTGTGAGCTCACCGTGTCCTGACTGGTCTCTGGAGCAGACTGAGTCACTGTAGGGTTGGACGTCAGCCCCTGGACGAACACAGTCAGTTCAGTTAATACAGATGTTGTCAAAGCACAATACAAACAACAGCTGTACAACATATGCAACACATTTGTGCAGCTTTGACCTTTAGCTACTAAAACCTAATCACTTCATGAGTCATGGTGAAAGTTTGTGCCAAATTTCAAGAAGTTCCGTCAAGGTGTTACTGAGATATAGTGTCCACGAGAACGGGACGGATGGACAGTCAACCTGAGAACAAAATGGCTGCTGCTCTGACTGAGCCACACACCTATATACAATATTTTGTTAAATTTATGTGTTTATACTCTATTTTTTACTCACCTCGTTGTCATCCTTCCCTGAAAAGACACAAATAAGAGTCGACTAAAGCAATAAAATAAAAATTTTATTAAAATTGTTGTTTATGAAAGTTTCATGTGTAAACAGCCTCACCTTTAGTTCTCTTCCACCTGATCACAACAAGCATTAAAACCGCTACCAAAGCCACGACCACGATGAGGCACAGCCACAACCAGTCTGGAAAGATAAACATCACCAAGTGTCTCAGCTGCAGCTTTGTTTTCTGTCCACATCAAAAACCCACTTTACTCAAGGTCCACTTACTAGTTCTTCCTGGAGCTTTCAACAGCATGTCTCATTGGAAATGTTGTTTAAAGCTCCACAAAACACTCATAGGTGCAACAAAAGTGAATTTAACCGTCTAGTGTTGGAGGTGAAGATATGATGCTGAGGAAAAGTAAAATGGTTGTAAGTTGAGAAAATTCTTCAGCGGAAGAAAGGAAGATTTCAAAATGGTGGTTTGCCCACTGTGACCAGCGTTTCACAACATTCATTCGTTTGCTAATGAAACAAAACAAACCACAAACCAACAAAGAACAAAGACACAAAGTGTGTGAAAGTAGTTTTGCCTTCATGTCTGCTAAGACTGAGTTTAGTGTCGGACTGAGAGCTGGACGATCAAGTGTCAGAGAGAGAGAGAGAGAGAGAGAGAGAGAGAGAGAGAGAGAGAGAAAGAGAGAGAAAGAGAGAGAGAGAGAGAGAGAGATCACACTGAAGCTCCACTGGTTGTAGATGCTGTCGTGCTCTCACCTGCCTTCATGCTGGTTTTTGTTGCTATGGTTTCGTCCTCACCTGGACAAATGAACAAACCAAGAAGCCGTTTAGAAAACGCCTCATGTTCACCATCTGCAGGTGATAAACGCTCATCAGCTCATCATGTTCTTACCTGACTCCTCAGGTGAGGCCTGGATGGGGAAGGTCAGCTGTTGCTTGTTCAAACCATCAGTCACGTTACATGAAAAGATCTTATACCTTGATCCATAAATGAAATGAGAAGTCTGAAAACTCACAGAGACGCTGCAGAGAGACTGTGATGTCAACAAGTCACTGTGACCTTTATCCACATCTCTACCCTGATACAACCACTTCACTGACTGTCTACAGTCTCTGAACGTCGACACAGAGCAGGTAAACGTCACCTCATCACCGTCCTTCTGTTCAGTTACTGGTGAAGACGGAGACATTGAGAGAGAAAGACAAGAGAGAAATGAACTTCATCACTGTAATAATCATCATGATTGTAAAGTTTCAGTGTTTTGTTCTAACAGACAGTTTGATGTAAATACTCACTGGTAACAACAGACAGATAAACCCAAGAGTCTGAACCTTGTTGTCGTCCTGATTTGTCAAACTGTCTGCAGGTGTACAGACCAGCATCTTCAGCTGAGACCTTCTTCACAACCAGAGAACATTTCTCTGTCAGACTCAGTCTGTCTGATTTAGATCTGGCTTCTTTATGAATCTTCCCAAGTTCAAACAGTGGTACTGTGTCTTTTCTTCCTGAACCACTGAGGAGCCAGGTCGTACCGTCACATTTAACCTGATCTTCTCTCACCCTCCCACAGGACAAAGTGACGTCATCTCTGACTCTGACAGTGACGGATGATGAATCTTGTCCAGCTGCTGCTGAGGCGACGTCGGAGGAATAAAAATGTTACTGTTAATGTGAAGATAATGTAAGATAGAGCAGACACAGAGCGCTCTCAGTTAAATGAAGGTTAGGTAATGAGGTAACATTAATGATGGCTGTTATTTATAATCATTTGATAAGTGTCTTTACCTGTGAACTGAAGCACCAGTATCAGAAATAAAGACGATTCAAACCACCTGATTTCGACCATCCTCTCTATCGTCTTTCTTCGTTCTACTTCCAGTAAGTGTAAGACTCTAAAGACAAGTGTCGTATCAACTTCCTGTAATTCGTCCACTGTCACTTCCTCTTCAGTGACTTTTAATGACAGTCCTTCTTTTCTCTGTAGTATCAGCTGTTGCTGTGTTCAAACATCAACTCCACTCTTCCTTTGCTTCAGTGACGTTCATATCTCAACACAGAGAACTAGATTCACCACCTCACGGTCGTATCCCTCCGCCACTCAGACTAGTTTCAGGTTACATCCTGTTTATCCAGAGTCAGATTATAAAACACTGGTGTGAAATTCTGTCATAATTTCTGTGTGAAGTCTTGATTAATGGCTAAAAAGTGTTTTCTGAGGTCACACTGACCTTTACCTTTGACCTTTGGGCACCAAAACCTAATCAGTTCATCCTCAAGTCAAAGTGAATGTTTCAGCCACATTTGAAGAAGTTCCGTCAGACTGCTGAGATATCGTGTCCACGAGAACGAGAGGGACGGACGAACAACACCAAAACAATATGGCGGCTCTGGCTGTCGCCGGCGCGGAGGAATAATAAACTGTTAAACCTACTACACATCAGACAATAACAGGTGACAGGTGACATTTATGATGCTCATTTACATTTCAAGATGACATGTGATATCGGGTTATTACAGCTGTTATTCATGTTGTGCTGCTCGTTGACCCACAGCGCCCTCCTCTGGACAACAAGGCTTCATACAGCAAGAAATCCTGAAACTAATCATTGAACAACTGTAAGAAAAAAACACATAAAAACATCAATTTTGGAAATGAGAAGTAACATTACATTATCTAATGAACTAACTTGAACTAATCAGTCATCAATGTAAAATATCTGTAATGAGATGAGATGTAACTACACTGGGTTTTTATGGTTTTGGTTCATTGACGGAGGCGTAGAGGCTCATGGGATCAACGCAGGCTCCAGCAGAAGAAGAGGAAGGTTTCACTGTGCTGTAGGTCACAGCATCATCATCATCATCGTCATCATCATCATCTTCAGCTACAACCTGGGAAACGAGAGAGAAACAGCTCAACACATTAATTACACAACATTAAATGACACAGGATCAAAGAAGAAAAAGCAACATTTGTGATTCCTTTATTTATTTATTTCCTAGGAACTTTATTTATTATAAAACATCACCAGTATATGCTAACCTTGACACAAATCCTCCTTTGGTATCGCTCTGTTGATAAAACACATTAGCCACTATAAAATTAAAGATGGCCGCCTTTTCTGGCGAGGAAATGTTATTTTTTGCAATAAGTTCATCCAGTATTTTCTCATATGAATCATCCAGGTGTCAAATCATGAAATTCAGTGCACTGTAAAAAATGAAATGAAAGTTTATTTCAGCAAAAATATTACTCACAAAAAAGCTCACTAACTAGCCTAGCACTAGCGAGTTAGCCTAGTGAGCTAATGTCAAGACAAGTAAGTAGACTGTCGACTCTAACACAAGTTTTGGTTCTTCATTCATAATAAATGGTGTTTTATGGAGAATTTTTCACATGAATGTTAGAAATTTAAGAGTTGTGACTCTGACACCCTCAGAGTCTAAAACAGAACCTTTTAAATCTGTCCTGCAGATAAAATTCTCTGCTGAAATGTTTCCAATGCCAGAAATGGCGGCCATCTTGAAATTTCAAGTTGCTACTGGGATTTTTCAAAGTAATGGCCCCAGAAGTAAAAATACACATATTCTGCTGCTTGTATCTACATTTGAGAGATTATTGCAGTTATCTGCTGCACTGCTTCGTTTTACTGATAAAATATTAGTTTCCTTTGTTTTTCTTTTCTTTTCTTTGCTGAAAATGTTTTTAAAGTCAGTAACATCACCAGACAGACAACTCACCCGAGCTTTACTGTTGGTCTTCTTGGTGAAGCTGATGGAGACGTAGGAAACACCCTCTTCAGGATCAGCCTGCACATGAAGACTGAGTCAGTAACACGTGGATTTCATTGAGTTCTATTGTATAATAACAGTGAGTGTCAGTTGTTGTGTGTGGCGTGATCTCACTGTGTCCTGACTGGTCTGTGGAGCAGACGGAGTCTCTGCTGGGTTTACGCTCAGCTCCTGAAAACACAAATCATTCTAGTCACACTTGGTCAAACATGATTTCTATGAAGGCAACGAAGCATCAGAGAGGACGGTTGCTATGGAGGCCGTTTGCTCCTGGTTTATCCTCCAGGGTCATGTGACAAAACTGAACTCTTGTAATTATATAAAATGTCGATCGCTCACTCACAGTGTTTTCCTTCCTTCCTGTTCTGTTCCCTGTGAAGACAAAAGACAAAGTCGACTTCAGCTCCCTCAGTTAAAACCCAGGTTTATTAAAACTTCATGTTTTACAAAAGTTTCATCAGTGAATCTTCTCCACCTTCAGTTCTCTTCCACTTCATGACCGCCACAGCAATCGTCAGGAGCACTAATAAAGCCACGCCCACAAGGACAAACCGCCACCAACCTGGACAGAGGATGAAAACATTAAAAACACTGTGGCTGCAGTTTTCTGCTCCGTTCACAATCCTGCAGCTGAAAGAGAGAAAAGCACATCTTCTCCAAAGCTGGTGAAGCATGAACCTGCTGTGGCGAAGGAAAGACATTTGTGAACAGCAGGAGATCTAGAAGTTTTCTGTGAACACAATGAGTCACAGTAAAGTATCGATACAACTGACAGTAAGTCTTGGTTTGAGCGTCACTACTAGCAACGTGATGCTTTCACTCATTACTCATGGCACTTTACTCTCCCCACACGTCAGTACTCTGTCCTCCACAGTAAAAGATGAAGTTTGTTGTTTGTCCGTGGACACGCTGATGTTTTCTGATCTGATGCTTCTATTGACAGGAGATCATTTGTCAGTGCTTGCAAATCTGAATCTGTTTTATGACACGACAGAACTATGAGTAATGTTTGGTTCGGTTTATGGAAACATCAGAGACCTTCGTAGACGTGGTTGAGATATAAACAGTGTTGGGGAACAACTGTGGTCCTGGTTCAAAGAGGCTGACCTTGAGTTTTGGTTGGAAATGTAAAGCGAACACTGATCTCCCACGTCAGTCGAGTCCTCTGAACTAAACAACACAGCAGATTGTTGTTGCCACGGTGATGTTAAGATCCGGTTAGCTTGGTCAAGTTAAGGGAACGACAGTGGTGATGGCAGAAAGGATCTAACGCTGCTGTTTCTCTGGCCAACACAGTCTCTAAGTAAAGGAGAATGAATCCCATCGTCTTAAATTGACCATCACACAAAGGTCGTTTGGTATTTTTCCCATCGGGATGAAGTGAGACTGTCCTGCTGTAAAATAAGGAGCCCACAGGTCGCTTGTGTCGCATCGGTTGGAGGCTGCAATTGAAGATCGATTGCGACATCAGGTGGATCCTTCGTTCCCAACCTCTCCCCACATTCATTGCGCACAGGAAATGAAACAAACAACAACGATAACGATACAACTGTTAAAAACAAGGGCCTTAAATGAACCTCAAGTTTTTGTGAAAAAAAATCATGTGTTGTCAAGGTTGCTAGGCAACAGGGATGGTAAGGATGGCAACAGCTGGTGACACAGGGTGAAAATCCTCCATTGTTCAGACCGTCTCAGTTCGGGTTCGGACTTATATTATGTTTTGTTGCTAGGCGACATCTAGTGGCCGTAATGATTGTGACAGGAGTAAAGGGGAAAGTGCAGTGATGAGTGTTTGTTATTGTGACCATGACAACCAAGGTCCGGTACGCCTGGCGCCGTAAGCGAGTTCTATTTGAGGAGACAGTCCTGTGGGTCGCAGCAGAACGACCTGTTGGTTGTTCTGGTTGGAAACAGTTCGACTCTTTCGTCTCTGAATTCAAAC